CATATATATATATATATATATATATATATATATATATATATATATATATATATATATATATATATATATATATATATATATATATATATATATATATATATGTATATATATGTATATATATATATATATACAGAGTTTGACAAGACAAATGCTTTGCGTCATTTGACTAGAAACTGTAATAGTAACTACTGCCACCGTATTTGCACGTTTTCACGCAACTGGGAATACTTTAGAGAAAAGCAGATCCAGTTAGCAGAGAAAGTATATTTACAAGACATGCCAAGACATATGTACAACATATAAATTACGAATCCATAAGATTTGATATGATACAGGTCGTCACACTGATGCCAATTGCACCTCTGTTCACGTTGCAATTATCTCCCGTCGCTCATTATCTCCCATTCTACTTGTCGTCCTCCTCCTCCTCCGAGTAGTCCTCGTCGCCCTCGAGGTCGGCCTGCTCGCCGTCAGCGCGGACGCCGCCGGCGGAGGGCACGGCGTTGGACTCCAGCACGCGGAAGCCCTTGTCGTCGGCGATGTACTTGACCACGAACTCGATGCCCTCGGGGCTCTCCCACCTGCAGGAGGACAATGGGAGAGGGATTTAAGGGACGGTCTAAGAGGCTTGTGCTGGTAGTGATGGGTGGATATATGATAGACAGATAGACAGATGGATAGAGAGACAGATAGATGGATAGATAGAGAGACAGATAGATGGATAGATAGACAGATAGATGGATGGATAGAGAGACAGATAGATGGAAAGATAGAGAGACAGATAGATGGATAGATAGAGAGAGAGACAGATAGATAGATAGATAGAGAGAGACAGATATATAGATAGAGAGAGAAAGAGAGAAATAGATAGAGAGAGAGAGAAACAGATAGATAGAGAGAGAGAGAGAGATAGACAGAGAGACAGATAGATAGATAGCCTCGTATGACGAAGAGCACCAGCGACGTTCAAGCTCTTGAATTTAAAACAGAACCGCCCAATGATATAAACACATATGTAAATGACATAACTCCTATATTTACGGCGCCCCGCTGAGCCACTCACTTGTACTCTCCGGTGACGGCCTTGCCCGGCTCGCCCTCCTGGTCGTGCTCGGCGTCGTCGCCCTCGAAGTCAAGGATCTCATCGGGGCGGGCGGCGGCGAGGGCGGCAAGGCCAAGGAGGACCAGGAGCTGAGGAGGAGGAGGGTGAATGTTTTAGTTGGAGGTGTGGATGGCGGTAAGCCAATAATGGATGGAATAAGATAAAAGGGAATATTTTGATGTTGACAATTAAGATGATAATGATAATGGTATTAATAATGTTGATGATAACGATGATAATGATAATAGTAATAGTAATAACAATTACAATAATAATAATAATAATAATGATGATAGCAATAATAACAGTAATGAAAATATTAATAATGGTGATAGTAATGATAATAATAATAGTGAAAATAATACTAATAATGATGATAATAATAACAACAGTAATAATAAGAGTAATGATAAAAATATCAGTAATAATAATGATGACAATAATAAAAAAGAAAATGATGATAATAATTTGATGGCAATGGTAAGAAGAACAATAAGGATAATGATGGTGGTTATTAAAATAATGGTAATCACTATTACAGTTTCTATCATTATTGTTAATATCATTATCATCATCAGTATCATGGTCATCACCATATGAAGAGATCAGAAAAATACCCATTTGCTAAAGACAAGAGAGCTGCAATATCATAACATATCCAGGTTCATCAAAAAGGATATTTCACATATCCAAGAGATCTATAATTTTATGATAGATAATAACAAGAGAAAGATTTATCCTTTTTTTTGTAGAATTACCCAATAAAACATTTTTTCTTTTTCTTCTATCCGTACATCCGCTTCTCCGTTCATCCATCTATCCTTCTTACTTCTCATCCATCCATTTACCCATTCGCCCATTCATCCATCCACCCATCCACCTGTCAACCTATCCACCCACCCACCCATCCACCCACTCATTCCAACCCTCCCATCCGTCCATTTATCTATCTATCCACTCCGTCCATTCATCCATCTATCCACTCCGTCTATTCATCCATCTATCCACTCCGTCCATTCATCCATCTATCCACTCCGTCCATTCATCCATCTATCCACTCCGTCCATTCATCCATCTATCCACTCCGTCCATTCATCCATCTATCCACTCCGTCCATTCATCCATCTATCCACTCCGTCCATTCATCCATCTATCCACTCCGTCCATTCATCCATCTATCCACTCCGTCCATTCATCCATCTATCCACTCCGTCCATTCATCCATCTATCCACTCCGTCCATTCATCCATCTATCCACTCCGTCCATTCATCCATCTATCCACTCCGTCCATTCATCCATCTATCCACTCCGTCCATTCATCCATCTATCCACATCGACCACAACCCCTCCTCACTCACCATAACCTTCATACTGGTGGTTGTTTCGGGTACAGAGTCGCAGAGAGAACTGGGCCTTCTACGACCTGTGAAAAGGGTTATATACCAAGAAGACCATAGCACGACCTTCACCCTACAGAAGGGAGTGAGGGAAAGGGTACTGCACCGTTCACGTAGGGTATAGAAAGGGGCGTGGTGGGTATGAAGAATATATGATAGGTGTAGAAGAGTGTGGTGGGTATACAGAAAGTGTATTAGGTGTAGAAGGGTGTGGTGGGTATGGAGAATATATGATAGGATGTTTGACGAGTGAGGTGGCTATACAGAAAATATATTAATGTAGAAGGGTGTGATAAGTGTATCATACGTAGGAAAGTAGCATATCATGTATTTTATCGTATAGAAGGGATGCGTATTAGGAAGAGAAAGGGAATAGGAGAAAGTATAAGGCCCTAATCACATACTATATAGAATAGGCAAAAGGGAAGAGGCAGAAAAGACTTCGTATAAGATATAGTTGTTGATATGGTGGCCTGTATAATTTGCATAATCATGGTGTGTCTAGGCCTTGTTGCTAAGGAAATACGAGGCCTCTTTGATTTCCAACCTTAAAAAAAATGAATTAGTGAGGTAAGATATACGCTTAGTCATTACTATTGTTTTCATTGTTCGATGATTCCAACAGCATTAGCATCAACTACACCTTAATGATTATCATGGATAGTATTTTATCCAAATAACATTGATTGTGGAAATGACATAGCATCATTACTGTTGCTTCCTCGTTAGTCTTGCTCTCAGGGTGAATATTATAGTTATCATCATTATTATTTTTAGCAACATTATCATTATAATCATTCATATGTTGAAATCATTAACATCATTACTATTCCTCACTTCATTACGGCTGCTGTAGGTGTTGTTGTTAATATTATCAATGTCGTGGAAAAAACAAACGGACAATATTCGTCAAAAAGAAAATAGCAGTGTGGTATCTTGTACCATACGCGTGATTTTCTCACCATGAATGCCCAAAAATGTATCCATTTTTTCATAAAGTTATCCTCATCTCAAATTCTGCAACACTATCTGGGGAGCTGTCAATGAAACCACGAGTAATACAAACAATTGCTGGATTACGCAAATATGACCATACTAATAGTGCATTTTCTACACTGAAACTATTGAAACTGATGGACATAAATACCTACTTCTGTGCTCTCTTCATTTTTAACTGTATCAGTATCTTCGAAAATAACTTATTCCGGTACAGAAATGATTTAAGATATTCTCTGCGATCAAATTCACTATTAAAGCACTCAACTGTAGGCTCAAACCAATCAAAGATATGTACTTTATATCATGGGGTGAGTGTATGAATCAATCTGCCCTCACATCTCCACAATGCTCCCTCACTACTGTCACTCAAGAAATCGTTGAAGACCATCTATTAAATATGTCAGAGTGAATTCTGATGATTAGGATAAATGTAAGAAGTAAATTGTATTAGTATATATACAGGCAGAGAACAGCATGTATTAATGCATTTGCATGGATGCTTATATGTACGCATAATTAATGTGTGTTTATATATGTAGGTATGTATATATATATATATATATATATATATATATATATATATATATATATATATATGTGTGTGTGTGTGTGTGTGTGTGTGTGTGTGTGTGTGTGTATGAGTGTATATATAAATATAATCTTGTGCAATATATAATTTTATTTTTTATTATTATTGTTTTTGAATAGCAATATCATTTATTACAATATATTGCTATTTTCTAACATAGTCTGCTTTACTAGTCTGTTCTTTATTATATATACTATATTATGTTTTTTTGTTGTTTTTTTTTGTCTTTATTACTGTCATCGTCTCCAATCCACCTAAAAGCTTAATCCAGTCTAAAAGCTTAAATACACATTAATTCCCCTAAAATAGGTGCCTCCTTAAGAAAGCTTGTGTTCTCCGGAGGATCAGCCATTCTAATTCTATTTTGTGTCAAACTGTCTTTATGTATATTGGCTGAATAAACGTTATCAATGTCAATATCAACATCAATGTTATGTTTCTTACTTTATTTTTTTATGTTATCTATACTAGTGTTATTATTATCATATTATTTACATCATTATAGTCATTATCATTATTTGTTCATTATTATCTATTACTATTATTACCATTACTTTTATTATTGTAATTATCATTATTGTTATCATTATTATTACTATTATTATTGTTATTATCATAATTATTATTACTATTACTATTAATATTATTATTGTTGTTATTGCTGTTATTGTTATCATTATTGTTATTATTATTATTATCATCTTTATTATTATCATTACAATTATTGTTGTTGTTGTTATTATTAGTAGTATTAGTATTACTATTATCATTATGATTACTATTATAATCGTTATTATTGTTATTATCATTATCATCATCATAATCATTATCATCATTATCAATATCATTGTCATTATTATTATTATCATTAATATTGCTATGATCATTATTATTATCGTTCTTAATATCAATATCATTATTATCTTTATTACCATTATCATTATCGTTATTATTATCCTTATTCTTGCTGTTGCTCTTACCTTTATCATCACAATTATCCTTATCATAATTATCATTATTGTTATCATTCTTATTACTATCATTATTATCATTGTTATTACTATTATTAATATTATTGGTATCGTTGTTAAGATTATTATTATTATCATCATCATCATCATTAATTTTTATTATTATTATCACTATCATCATTTTTATCATTTTCAGCTTCATTATTGTTATTACCATTATCAATGATCTTATCATTCTCATTCTCATTATTATTGTTATTATCATTATTATTATCATTTTCACTATTATCATCATTATCACTATTATCATTATTATCAATATTACTTCTTTTATCATTATTAGTATTAGTACTGTTATAATCATTATTATTGCTATTGTTATCATTATTAGTATTAGTATTGTTATTATTGTTATCGTTATTATTATCATTATTATTGTCATTACTTTTATTAATAATATCATTATTATTGGTGTTATTATTATCATCACCATCATTATTATGGATATAGATACTATTAATACACTTTGGCGCAATTGTATCACAGCAAACATATTGTTATTTTCTAACTTTCTAAATGACATACCCATATGTTAACCTGCAATAAAATGTGTTTACACTCTACTTACACACACTAACAAATATATGTATGTTTATGTATATGAGTGTGTGTGTGTTTTGCCTCTGTGTGTGCCCGTACATGAATGTTTGTGTTCGAATTTGTTTGCGTTTGTGTGCGTGCGCGTGTGTCTGTGTTCGCATTAATTTGCGTTTGTGTGCGTGCGCGTGTTCACATGCCTAATTCAGCATACGTAAGAGTGCATCTCAGCACGCACATTACTCGTTCACATCCCTCGGCAAGAAAACACAGATATTCTTCACCGACCTTTCACTCCATGTCCTTTTTTCAACATCCCGCTCGACCTTAACTCGTCTACCACTTCTGCCGGTTTAATTACCAATGATTTGACCGCGAGGGCGAGGGCAGCGCAGTGTTTGCAGGTCACAGTTGTCCAGAGTTTTTTTCGGGTGATGCGAAAGTTAGCTGTGGTGGTGTTTTTTTTTTTTTTTTTTTTTTTTTTTTTTTTTTTTTTTTTTTTTTTTTTTTTTTGCTTTTTTTTGGGGGGGGATTGGGATCATTCTGAATCTTGAATGTTGAATGAATCTTGAATGTTGAATGGATTGTGAATATTGAATGAATCATGAATGTTATCTGAATATTGAATATCTATCTACACACACACATATGTGTGTATATATATAGATAGAGAGAGAGGAATAGATTTATGTATTTTTTTTCTCTCTCTCTTTATATATATATATATATATGTGTGTGTGTGTGTGTGTGTGTGTGTGTGTGAGTGTGTGTGTATGTGTTTACATTTAGGTGTATTATCATAATACTAATATGAATTTTAAAAAATAATACTAGAATAAAATAAAATTGTCAGATTATGTCGTCGAAAGTTTATTTACAAAAGGGTTGCATGGAAGATAAAGAATGCAGATGCTTGATAACTTAGATGAAATGGCGCGAGGGTCGGCCGAGGCGCTTCTACGCGGCTCCGTCTTTACGCGTCGCCGAATCGGTTTTCATTTCCGTTTACTTGTCGTCCTCCTCCTCCTCCGAGTAGTCCTCGTCGCCCTCGAGGTCGGCCTGCTCGCCGTCGGCGCGGACGCCGCCGGCGGAGGGCACGGCGTTGGACTCCAGCACGCGGAAGCCCTTGTCGTCGGCGATGTACTTGACCACGAACTCGATGCCCTCGGGGCTCTCCCACCTGCAGGAGGGGGAAAGGTAAGCAACTGGATGGATACACAAACGTAGATAGATAGATAGGTAGGCAGATGGATAGACGAACAGATAGATAGATAAATAAAGAGATCAGCTCATTAAGTAAGTATCTATTCAAATCTCCGTTTAAGCGAAGGGATTTTAAATAGCTACGTGACGGCCAACAGATCGCGTTCGTCACTCACTTGTACTCTCCCGTGACGGCCTTGCCCGGCTCGCCCTCCTGGTCGTGCTCGGCGTCGTCGCCCTCGAAGTCAAGGATCTCATCGGGGCGGGCGGCGGCGAGGGCGGCCAGGCCAAGGAGGACCAGGAGCTGAGGAGGAGGGTGAATGTTTTAGTTGGAGAAGGTGTGGATGGCGGTAATGCCAATAATGGATGGAATAAGATAAAAGGGATTATTTTGATGTTGACAATTAAGATGATAATGGTATTAATGATGATGATAATGTTAATCATAACGATAGTAATGATAATAGTAATAGTAATAACAATAATAATAATGATAATAATAATAATAATGATAATAATAACAATAATGATAATAATAATAATAATGATGATAATAATAATAATAATAATAGTACTGATAATAATAATATTGTTAATAATAATAGTAATGCTAATAATGATAATAATACTAATAATGGTGA